TCCATATAAAGCCACACATTAATGTGTTCCCTGAAATCAGAGCTGGAAGAAATCAAAGCCTTGGTTTTGGGATAGGGTTACAGAGCACAGTGAGATTTAAATTAGCTATTCTTTTATGACAGCCTGCTCAGAGTCTGCTGGAAAACTGCATCCATCCATCAACTGCGGATAAAAGGTTTTCTGTATCACAAACATCTCAGCTGTAGAGATGTGAAGTGATAAATCTATAACCTCTTTGTCTATAAACATGACAGACTGGCTGCAAATTCATTCCAACTTAAAACTACTGTTTTTGCATTCTAATCTTGGTAACATGCAAAAGCTAAGACGGGCGGACTTGGGTGCAAGCAATTGGCTATTTCCTGGAGGCACCGTACACCAGCACCAGACCCTGCACGAATAAAACTTCATCAGAAAACATCAGAAAGAACTAGTTTGATAGCTTTTTTCCAGATGACTGCGATGAGAAGACGCTAACCACAGACGCTTTCCTCCCTGAAGAAGCTCTCTTTCAAGTCGAGGGGATACGTTTTTTTCCCCTGAAATATGTTTGATTTTGAGCAGTGGATCACTTCAAACTCTCTGAAATCTTATATGCGTGTATAATACGTGTAGAGGTATCCATCTGAACAGCTGGCTCAGTAAACAAGCATCCAATAGCGTCCACTTTGGTTGTGTTTACGTTTCTCTGCTGTTGGATTTGTCTCAGGGCTCTCGACTGGAGCGGCCTGGTTTTTCTGTGCACTCCAACATCATACAGCTGCTTGATAAATATAGCATCCTGCAGACAAGAAGCCACAATGCCAAGCATCTCCCTCTCAGCCTCTCCCATGCTGCTCCCTGCCCTCCTCTGGACTAACACATAGGGGATGTGTTAGTCTGTTTTCACTGATCCACGATGCCTCCCGCCTGTTTCCATTCCTTCCGTCACATCAGGCTGGCAATTTTTGATCACCACATCTAATGCCTGTTACTGCTAATGTAAAGGTTTTGTCATTTTGGCAGAAGATGAGGAGAAAAGAAAATGAATGTACCGGTTCATCTCCTTAATGTTGGTGCCACTAGAATCATCAACTTCAGGTGCAGAACTTGACACTGTTCTCATGCAACTATGCAACATCTTCATTGTTTAAACATGATGGAGTTAAAGGCAATATCATCTGAGGCAAAGACTACAGCAGTCCTGTGATCCACTTCTGAGACAGCTTTCACAATCTGCTATTTTTGTTCAAATTAAACTGGAAAGCCCAAAGTATCCTGTTTGAGTTTCTGTTACTTCTTAAATAGAGTCTGTGGTCCGTTACTCACAGTTTTGCACGTAAGTGCTTGTGAGACAACAGGGACATTTTTCTAGCTGTGAGCTCACATATTGTAGATCAGATTATGTTAATGAAGTTAATGTTTTTGTAATTTATTTACATTACACCTCATTAAACTGAGAGAGTGAGTGAGTCAATCAGAGAGGCCCCATGTGTAAACAGACACACAGTTTGTGAGGTGTGTACATGTGCAGAGAGTGTGCCGAGTTACGAACATGAGTCTTGGCGGCTGTGGCTGAGGGGTAGAGCGGTCGTCCTCGATCCAGAAGGTCGGCAGTTCAGTCCCCAGTTTTCCCATCTGCATGCAAATTACCCCATAGAACAAAAAGTGCTGTTAATAGATGTACTTTATGAATGTATGGGTGAATAGGTGAATGGCAAACTGTAGTGTAAAGCGCTTTGAGTGGTCATCAAGACTAGAAAATAACTACATAAATACAAACCATTATATAAATACAAACCATTATATGAATACAAACCATTTACCAATTGAAAAGTGAGCAAACACAATAATCCACCATGTCCTGTCTTTGTTTTTTGGACCTGCCCAAATCATATCAAGGTTCAGATTGAAGTTGGATCTCTGAAACTGGAGACCTTTTAGTCCAGGTGTAGGTTGACATCAGGTTTTAATCATATCTAGATAGAGTCTGGAAGCAAAACACATTTCAATATCAGGTGTGAAAGGAGCCGTAGTCTTTTATAACATTTTGCACTTTAAGTGTATGTGAGAGAGAAAAAAGAAACTCCCTTAAAAACTGCTCACAAAAGGCTCACTGTATGCAATGAGAACAACATTATGAGCCCTAATGCTGATAATACACATAAAACTGCACTTCAGGCTGTTTGGATTTGTTTGACAGGTGACAGATGGATTCTAGTCAAATGGAAAGCCCATGTGTTATTTTGAAAGTGCATTTTGGATTTGAAAAGGATTTTTCAACCCAACATTGTGCCAAATGTTCTTGGCCCATATTCGAGTTTACACTGAAAACATGGAGTTATGATCAGTACTTAAACGTGGCTGTGGCTAACTGCTTCAAGAGGTGAGATCCCGTAAGACTCCTCAGGAGAAGCCTGACATGCTGATCTGGACTCTTTTCCTTTGCTTTTTCTTTCTTCTCTCTTAGAAAATGGGCCTAGAGGTTGTAACACTCTCTTCTCTAACAGACCTGAACTTCTGTTCGGTTTTTATTAGGCACTTAAGGACCTTTACCTTCTTGTACTGCCAACGTGTCTCCAGAGGTGCGTTACGGAAAGTCCTCTGGATTACTTTTGCACTGCAGGTTCCTCATTTTGCATTGAGCTACCTTGATCTCATTGGAACCTGCACGGTTTCATTAAACTGATGTGAAGCAGTGGACTGCAGTAAGCAGGCCGATGTTAAAGTGTGGCTGAAGTCGTGTGGCTGGATTCTGTCTGTTGTGGTTAATGCTTGTGTTGTGGTAGTCGCAGGTCAAAGGTCAATGTCACCTTATATTTATCCTGTTATTGTTAACGCAAATAGTCTGTAATTATTTAGCTTTTCTTGTCTTGACCACTTAAAGTGCTCTGCTGTACAGTTGAGCCATTTGTGGTTCAGTGTCTTGGCCAAGGACACTGCCAAGGAGCATGAAATGAGAGACCTTGGGATCGAACCACCGATCATCTGGGCTGTGGATGATCCACTCTACCAGCCGCCCCTGGAGTAAATCATTAAATCAGATACAGACTTGGACACAAGGATGAAATGAAAGTGGAAAGTCAAGGTCACTGTGACCTCATGAAATTCATATGTTAAATATGACAAGGAACATTTAATACCTCTTATTTACATGATATATACATGATTTAGACTTCGCTACATGTATTATATGAGTCGACACAGACATGGATGTAATTTGTCTGCTTGGCAGAGGCACACAACCACGAGGTAATAATATGTTACATTATTTTTTGATAGGGTCTGAATTCATTTATTGAATGTTGCACCACTTTCTATTTGGTTTCACTTTTTAGCTTTAGTTGAATGGAAACAATTTAACACTGGTGGATTATCTATTTCAGGAACATAATCCAGTTTGAACTCCGTTGGCTGATGTTAAAGCAATTGTAGAAAAAAAGGGCAAACGCCTCAGCTCGAGTTTTGAGAAACGCTTGAGCCTGTAAGCAGCCATGTTGGCTCAAATAACCTGTGTTATTGCCCAGGTGATGTGAGTCACACCACTTTAAATCAGGGAGGCTTAACCTCACCCCCTCTCCCTGGGCATCACCTGCCAGTAACACTTTTATAATTTCAGATTCAAATCACAATATAGGAGGTGATGTGTTTTCTGGGAACGTGCACTCACTGGCTTCAGGGTTGTTTCCCTGCAGCCTGGCGAGTGGCCGCACAGAGCTTTCATCAGCATTCATGTCAGGAAATTAGAAAACGAGGACTGTCTCCCAGCATTATGACTGAGAGGGGGCAGATTGTTGTCTGGTTGAGACTGTGCAAAGGGAAACATACATGTTGCCAGAAAGAGAAAAAGGAGAGAGATAAAAGCAGAGGAATAAAAAGGCTGAAGACTGAAGCAGTGGAGGACAAGCTGTGAGAGAACAGACGATTACCAGCACAGAGACTAAAGGGCAGAGATGGTGTTGGGAAGATAACACAGCATGTAAAAGTTAAGCAAACATAGTCACAGAGGAAAGACAAAGAGAGAGCTGAGACGACAGCTCCGGGTTCAGAGGCCTTTGTTACGAGAGGCCTGGTGGAGCTGTAGTTCTGTCAGCACGGGATGTCCGACCTGCGGGGCCCACCAGCAGTTACAGCCCACACAGCGGAGGCAGCCCCTCCACAGCTGGGATTAACTGCCACTCTCTACTCTTATACGCCTCGTCACGATTTAACACAAGGCCCTCGTGTTTAATGTTTAAAGACAAGTGCATATTTCTTTGATGATTACCAAGGTAACGTTGAGTTCATCTGCTCTTTTATTATTCTCACTCGTGGCAGTGCGATGACAGATGGGAACAAAGTGAGGAATTTAACGGATCTGCTATATTTGTCAGCGATGTCAGTGCCAGGGCAGAATATTGACATTTAAAGCGTAAAGGCGTGGATGGGAAATGGTAATTTTTGAGCACTTAACTGATGACACTCGAAAATCCCTGCATGATATTTCAAATAATTACCTAGCCTTTTACAATAGAAGAAAAATAATTCACTCAGATTTAACACATTGAGTTTTAATCAAAAGACCTGAATCAGATTGTGAGGGAGCAGCGGTCCAAAGTTTGTGTTTTAGATTTTTTGGAGCTGGGGACAACTCTTCAAAAATATGTATTAATGCAGTCAGTACATTTACAGAAATGGTTAGTGATCATGATCGACACAGTAATTCAATTCTGCATTGATTTTTAAATACACAAATGATTTAAAGGAATAAACCACCAATGAGGGCTTTATATATCAGAATTGANAGGATAGTTCACTGCCATAAAAGAAATAATATTGCTTTCAAAAATTTACATTTCTGTTTTACTAATTTGAACCAAACTGAAATCAGGGATTCTATCATCAACCCGCCCGAACGATTCAAACTATGAATGCGAGAGCTCGATGGGGGGGGGATGTCACAGAGACTTTACCAACCTGGCAACCCGCCTCCTGAAATCAGGCGGTGAAAGCGCAAAGCCGGAAGTGACTCGTGAGCCCCGCAGCTGTGTTTACTTCCGGACTGTACATGTTTGTACTCCATCATAATAGTACTAATACTAGCAATTATACTTTGTTCCGAGGAGACGTGGACAGACTTGGACCGGGTCGACATGAGTCTGGGTCGTCCGGTGTCCTGTGTCCTCTGTCTGAGCTCCGAAGAGACACAGACCACCGGAGCTTTATCCATCAAAGACGAAGTCGCTGCTCATCAGAACTGTTTGGTAAAAAAACCTGATTTTCTAAAAAGAAAAGAACTCTTTACTTCATCTTTGTCAAAGTGAGAAGTGAAACAATAGAAACTCCACAGTGTGAAGAGTTCGAATCCTCACATTATAAAGAAGTTATAAGTGTTTTACAGCCACGAGGAGATTCGCTCAACTACTGTGTAATAATTCAAATTCAAACTTTCGAGGTAAAATACCGGTATGGTCGATATTGATCTTATGGTTGAGTTGGACAATTTGTATAAAATGTATTTAGCATCAAAACATATTTATTCAGATATCTCTGTTTAATCCAGATCATTAAACAGAGATATCTGATTCATTCAGCTGATTCACAGTGTTCAGTTTGTCCCACATTCCTGCTTTTAATGCAGAGAAATACATAATTTTATGTTTGTGCTTCATTTAATATGCGTTTTATGTTTCTTTCATTTAAACACTTGGATACGTGCACCTCCTAATTAAATAGTCCAACACGTTTCTCCTCACTCGTCCCTTTTCTGTTTCTACAGTTATTTTCTTCTGGTATTTTTTGTCGGAATTCCCCTCAGTTTGACGACCTGTTTGGTTTCTCCATAGAAGATGTGGTGAAGGAGGTCAAACGAGGAAGAAAACTGGTAAATCTCACTAACGTCTTCACGTCAGAGCGGGCCTGACCCACTGATCGTGTTCTTGAGGCTGTTTTTGTTTTATGTGTGCCACTAATTCGTTTGCTTCAGCAATGCCACAAATGTAAGAAAAAGGGCGCCACTGCCGGGTGTGAAGTCAAACGCTGCAAGAGGTCCTACCACTTCCCCTGTGCTGTGAAGGAGGGAGCCAAGGTCATCGAAGATCCGGCCAAAGGGAGTTATGGGTCAGTTCATGTTAAACTGCAGGCCTAGAAAAATCCTTCCTGTGTCCTGAAGATGTCTGTACTGATTATTTACATGGAACTACATGTATGTGTTTGTATGTATCAGGTTGTACTGCTCCCAACACCAACCACTTCAAAGTAAGTGAGCATCTCTGAATTTCTTCTCTTTTGGTTTTTCATGTGGACATTTTTTTTTTTTTTTTATTTATTCATGGGGAAAAAACAGAGAAGACTTTCTCCTTACTATTTTTTCTTTTGTGAAGGACACTCCTGGAGAGTAAAACCTTCAGCCACCTGGTCTTCAGCCCTGAGCTGTGGGAAACCTGATTTGACTGTAGAGCTGTGGAGAGACGGCAGGTACAGTCAATCACACGTAACTTTTAGCACAAGCGGCACACAGACTGACTTTAATGCCCTTCTCTTCAGCTCAATAACTTCTTGAGCAAAGGGCGTCTGCACTTAAACAAAGTCCTCGTGTGCTCAGAATGCTTGAAGGGAGGGTGATGACATCCAGCAGTGAAGATGCTCCATCTCTGCTATTTCAATTCTGTACTAATATGATGACATTTTAAATAACATTAATGATAAATGTATTATTCAGCAGACAGAAAATAATATACACTTAACCATTTAACATCTTTTTCATAATGGAAAATTTGCATCCAGACATGGAATTAAATTATTTCACCCAAGCTGACACCATTTACTGAATCATTTAATTAAATTACAACTGTGTCTCTTATGTAAGGCCTTAAAATTAAAATGTGCGTAGATTTATTTCATTTGCTTGATTGTTTTTATAACACAACCAAGTTTCTAACACTACTATGGTGATCTATTAGGTGTCAAACTGGAGCACAGCCAAACAAACCTATTTAAAAGAAAAATGGAGGGGACTCATGTCTTTTGATTGCTGTTTCAAAGGCTTGGCCCATTGACCCCATTCAAGCCTAATGAAAGGTTTCACGAGGTGAGGTCGAAGCAGGCCTGCGATGTCTGTCACTGGATCGACAGGCTCTGCACAGTTAAATCAATCTAGACCACACAGGTTTGAATAAAACTGGACAAACCCACTTAACACCTCTGTGTTTGGAGGTTTATACTCTTGACTTTGTAAATACGTCCCTGCCTGATGTCTCTCTGTCCCTTGAAATAAAACGAGAGCTTCTGAAGATGGATTGAAGCAGTTTATCGAATGTCTGAGGTCACATCATCAATCAGATTCAGTCCCAGTCGCTGCTGATAAAGTTGAGAAAAACAGACACAAACAGAAACACAAGAAGGTGAAATCAGTCACTGACAGAAAGAAGAAATAAAGTTAAACAAAGTTTCGTCTCCTTAAACTATCTCAGTTGGAGTTAGATCAAGTCAGTCTGTGGATAAATCAAGAGAAGTGGATTTGCTTCAAACATTATTTGATGAATAACTACGGAGACGAGTCTGGGTGAGGTAATCTAATAAACTATGATAAAATATGAATAAAGCTCATAAATAAACCATAACATGAAAACAGCATATTCTGCATCAGCATTTTAAAGGTATCGTTGTTATTCTTGGTAATGGGGCTTACTCACTTTCTTACAGACGGTTAGATGAGGAGAGCAATGCCACTCTCTTGTTTGTTCACTGAATAGCTAAAGCAAACAGCTAGTTAGCTTAGCCTTAGGATGAATACTGGAAGCAGCTGACCAGGCTCTGTCCTATAAAAGTCGAGCTGCTTTCAGACATGCACTGATGTTGGGAAATTATACAGAGAAGCTGTGTGTGCGAACGCAAATCGAGTCAGTAGCTGCAGACGTTATTAGCTGAATATCTAAGTGAATATTTACTTCATTTTGCAGACGGAGTCAACTGATGTTGAGACGTTAGGATTTTTTCCTTTTAACAAACTAGCTAGTTCCCTGTTTCCAGTCTGTATGCTAAGCTAAGCTATAACCATCTGCTGCACGTTTACCGTACAGACCAGTCCATTTTTCATCTAAATCTTAGCAGAAAAACAATAAGTATATTAAACAAAATGTCAAACGAGTTCTTTAATAAACATTTGAAGTACTGATCCATTCATTTTCTATGGATTATTCACCTAGTTTGTTCCGTTAGCATTGCGGCCTTCTCACACTGAACGTGCTCAAATAAAATCCTGTCCCTGAAAGAAAATTATTCCCACTGATTAATGGAGTGGATGCAGATGCGTTTGCGCTCTGGCTGCCGTCGCTGTTGTTTGTTAGCAAACTCTTCAGCTCACATGGATTCGTTTAGAGGCCGCTCTATTGCCAGCGGAGCTCAATGCTCCATTTAAACCTTTAACAAGCGGCTCTGTGGCGATGAAGCCGCTTGTCAATCTGATCATATTCTTCAGAGAGAGGCCTCCAGACCTTCAGGGTGACGGCTGCAAGAAAGTGAGATAGATTTAGTGATCGTAAAGATGCGTGTTCCAGTCCTCTTCAAGGTTTTTGCAGATTTGCGTAGAAGTTTGTGTGTATTTTTCTCGTGATGGTTTCCACATGGAGTCGCTGTTGTGTGATGGACGGGTGTGTGGGGGAGGGAAGCCTGTAGAGTCTCTCCAGTAGAGCCTTTATCGCACAAAAACACATAAACCTGCGCCCACACACACACACACATGCAGCATCACTGTCACTGTCACTGAGCAGCTTCATTAATCCTGCTGCAGTGGTATCAGATAATTAGACGCCTTAATTGGACTTTAATAAAACGTCAATTTTCTTTCCCCAAGTCGCCCGAGCTGAAGCAGTTACCCAGACTTCACATTCACAAGCTGCCTTCAGACATGCACTGAACTAAGGATCATTTCCTGACATTCTCCAGACTGGAGAAATATCACAGCATTAAAAATCAGTGCTGATATTTTTGGAGATAATCCGTATTAATGTGCCGTAGACAAAAATGAGATCGTAATGAATACGTCACATCCTGCGTCTGCCTGCTGCACCAGACGTCACCTGATCGCTCTTGAGATTTCTCTGTTGTGAATGCGTCTGAGCAGAGAATCTCCGGCTGTGTTGTCAATGTGTGAACGACAAACTCCGGAGAAAGTCCAGACCCAGTGTCCAGAGTTCATGTCTGAAATTAGCCACAGTGAACGAGTCGTGAGGAACGGAGATCGAGTTTTGATCAGCTTCACATTAACTGTGGTGCACAAGTATTTTTCCGCTGTTGATGCTGTGTTATATTTTACTGTTGTTTAAACTGTAATCTTCACTAACCAGCTCCCAGAAGAAGATTTTTTGAATTAAACAGGATTTACCTTGTTTATTCCAGTGCTTGTAATTATGGGCGTGGAGACCCATCATTTGTCCGTGCTCTCGTTTCAGTCGACCGGGGCTTTGTAATCTTCCACAGTAATGAGTAAAGAAAATGGAAATTGACCTCTGGTGTTGTTCTCTCCTGCACCAGGGCAGAGATATCCAGGAAACAAAATGAAAAGTAAAGTTAACAGACAACCAGGAAACTGTAAACGCTCATTAAACTTACTTCCCTGGAGGTAAACAAATAAACTGAAGCTTTTGTGAGACAGCTGCTTTTGCCCCCTCTGCATTGGTGTGAGACCTGGAGGGACCTCATGCAGCTTTCTGAAAACATGATGGCGTCTGTGCGCATTAACACTGAAGTACAACTTGAATGACAGAAGGAGGAAAGGCAACAAGACACTGGAGAACAGAGGTTACACTTCAACCCTACACAAATTCAACTGCTAGTTTAGTTTCAAACTTAATTTTAATTTGTGATTTTAATAAAAATCTGTTTGTTTGATTTTATGTTCTTGGTGAGCCAAAGGCAATTATCCACCCTGGATGGACAATACAGTTCTACTCATTTATTCAAAGTAAGATAAAAATCAATTTTAATAGACCTGGAATAGACTCTTATTACAGCTCTGTTCAGTTTAGATAATTGTAAAATTAAGATTAAAAGCTAATTCGTCCTCCTGCTTCCACTGTTTAAACTGAACATCTCAATATGCCAGTTCTGCGATAGGATTCATGTTTAATAGAATAATGCTCCACATGAGTCAGGATCCAGCCAGAAAACAGCTCCGCTCACAGATCCTCGCTCTCTGTGCGTTGACTTGAATCCAGCATCTGCTTCGTCCTGAGGTGGAAACTGTTGTTCTGTGTAAATTAACCACAGAGTTCTGCTCAATGCAGACGTCACTGCCCACTTTTCCTTTCTGCACTAATTAGCACTGAAGACAGGTCGACATACACCAGATTTAATCAGCAGGATTCTTCTACATGGTTTTTTACGATGTGCATGACACTTACACACAAACACTGAAATACTTTGTCATTTCAGTTCTTTACACTGGTGTCCACGTCTGCTCCAAAACAAACACACAGTTTACCCTGCAGGAGCAGAAAACATGCAGACGACAGTTAATGTAATGTAGTAATTTTTAATGATGTGTGTAATCAGCCGATCACTCAGTGTTGACATTACTGATGATAGAAAGCGGAGGAGTCTGGGAGGTGATTAGTGCACAAGCTCATGCAGGTAATCACCGAGGTTCGTGTTGAGGCATGTGTCAATATTTCAAATCCTGTCTGCCAGAGTTTCACGGGAAAAGATGACAGATGACATTTGCTCAATTTTTAATTTTTAAAAGTCCTCATGTTGAATTTTGCTATAAATAATAAAAAGCCTACAACTCCGTGAGTCAGAGATGTGAGATGTCGTCTTTTTTTTTTTATTTAAAGGTTGAAAAACAAGGCAGCATATGTGAATTTGAAATTTGTCGCAAATTCTGCAAATTAATTATTTTCCTCCTATTTTTAAATTTGCATTGTCTTAAAATGATCAACCATTAAAAGGAACAACTGTCATTCATATGCAACAGAAGTAAAGTTATTTGAATTCAATATCAATGTGAAATTCTGTGTTTCACATTTCTTAGTCAAATACAGAAGTGTATTTTTCTTTGTGGATGCCTTGTAAACTGACAAATAGGGGTGAGATAAAGCAGTGACATAAAGTACCGACATTTTCATAACAGAAGTAAAAACAATTTCTTCTAAATGATCAAAATGTTTGTTTGTATGATAAAGCTCAAAACAGACAAAAGAAGTTGTGAGAAGTTATTGTGGAAGAGAAAGTCATTGCTTTTGTTCATTTGCATGCAGAACACTGTGTCGCGTCGCCTGATATATTAATTC